CGAGGCTGCGGTGGCCGGGAGCGGCCACTGCACTCCAGTCTGGGCGACGGAGTAAAACTCAAAAATAAATAAATAAATAAATAAATAAAAAATCCCAGGTCAATACACAAGAGGAGCATTTGCTATTGGTTGGAACTTTCTGGAACTTGCCTTTTTGTTTTTCAAAAGAACCAAGTCATAATCTGTGGGAAGCTTCAAATAAGAACAAACTGTTAAAAAATTAAAAACACTGATCAGTGTATTTATCTTCCACTCTTCACATTCATTGTGAGCAGATGACCTCAAATGAATCAGATTTCAAAGGGGTAAATCATGGTGAAACACCTTCCATGACATTTTTAAAAACTTTTTTTTTTTTTAAGTTGGAGTCTCACTCCACCACCCAGTCTGGAGTGCAGGGGCACGCTCCCAGTCACCGCAACCTTGACCTGCTGGGCTCCGGTGATCCTTCCGCCTCAGCCTTCCAAGTAGCCGGAACTACAGGCACGCATACTACCACACCTGGCTAGTTTTTGATTTATTGTAGAGATGAGGTCTCACCAAGTTGCCTGGGCAGGTCTCGAACCCACAGGCTCAGGCAATCCACTCACCTTGGCCTCCCAAAGCGCTGGGATTACAGGCTGAGCCACCGAACCCAGCCTAAAATTTTAAAATTTTATTTTAAAGATGTGGGATACAATTCATGGTTAAGTATACAAATGTTCATTATACATACCTTGTCGATGAGGTGTGCCCCCCTCCCTCTGCAGAATCCCACTACTGCCAATCCCTCCCCCTTACATTTTTTAAAGAGTAAAATACTCCTGCAACCTGACTCCACCAGCATAGTGTTCTTAATTTCCTACACACACAAATAAAACAATTTGTTTATTTCACAGATTCCACTATCAAAATATTTCATTTCCTAAACTAACTTTGAGAAGTATCAGCTGACATCACTAGAAGACATGGCATTTGTTCCTTTAAAGTCTGAAAATCAAAAACTGTTCTGGTGAATGATCAGTCTGTATTCATCTGATACCTTTCCTCACAACAGCTCCATTTCTCTCTTGTACAGCTTTAAAAAATTCCAAATACCAGCTTCTTCAACACTCGGCCAACCAGCTCTCCATCCATGTGCCCAACGTGACCCTGCAAGATGAAGGCGTGTACAAGTGTTTACAGTACAGCCACTTCGTGAGCACAAAGGAAGTAAAAGTGGTTGTGCTGGGTAGGTGCCCTGGCGAGTAAGCCCAGCATGGGAGCAATCCTGATATGAACGCGATTTGCTGTTTCTAAACCTAACATTTTAGTTTATGATGGTTACCTAGAGTCAGGCATTTCCTGAAGCACCTCTGCCACCTTTTTTTTGAAAGGAAACAGGAGAGAACAGTTTGAGAAGCAAGCCCTAGATTGAATGTGAACTCTTGAACTTTGTCTTTAGCATCAACTAAATTTTCTCTATGGGGAACTAAAAGGAAAGAATATTTGATAAGCTGCCACCCTGTGCCAGGCACTGTGTGAGGCTCTAGGGAATCAAAGACGAGGTCGGCACAATCTCTGCCCATAAGGGGTTTGCCCTAGCTTAGGAAGCAAAACATGGATGTAAATGAAGTGGAACCTCATGACAGCACAGTCTAGGACAGAGTAAATTCAGATGTAGCTGCACTGAATGATCTGCTTACATTCTCTGCCAAAACAATTCCTCTCTTCTGTAGAGCGCTGGGGTTGGGAGGTGCAAATAGGAAGTGGTAGCCTCCCAGTCATCTGGGACTTACTAAGTTCGGCCATGGCCAGCTATGTCCTGTATATGTCTTACTAGCTTTACTTTCTTTTTCTTTTTGTGGCAGAAGAGATGAGGCTGATTAATAGCATTGCTTTTTATTGATCTCTAAATAATAATATCCCAGGTCCGATGTAGTGGCTCATACCTGTCATCCCAGCACTTTGGGAGGTCAAGGCAGGAGGATCGCTTAAGCCCAGGAGGTCAAGACCATCTGGGCAACATAGCGCAATCTTGTCTCTGCAAAAAATCAGGTGTGCACCTGTAGTCATGATCATGCCACTGCACTCCAGGCTGGGCGACAGAGTGAGACTCCAATTCAAAAAAAAAAAAAGAATAGTCTATTTGGGAATTTTCAAGGACTAATTGCACTCTGAATAACAAAACATTCTGCCTTCAGCCCAAGGAGTTTTACAAGCACATAAATGCCCTTTAACATGACTGTATTCTGTAAAAGGTCAAGTAAAATAGTATGTCCATGAATTAGACTATACCCTAGAACGATCCCTACGGATTGTTAGGCTCTGTGTTTTGCTGAGATATATAGACCAACTAATTAAGCACAGAAAAATCAATTTTCTTCTAGCAACTCCTTTCAAACCAACCGTGGAAGCTTCAGTTATCAGAAAGCAAAATGGAGAAGTACATGTTGTACTTAAATGCTCCACCCTGAGAAGCAAGCCCCCTCCTCAGATAACATGGCTCCTGGGGAATGGGATGGAGCTCTATGGTAAGTGAAGAAACCATTTTTCTTTTCTTTTCCTTTCTTATATTTCCAAGGAATTTTTCAATGTTCTGGCACCCTCTGGTGGCAGAAGGTGTCATAAGACACCTTCTGATAATATACCTGTTCTTTTGCAGACAAATTATCCTTATAACCAATCAATATTATACCTTAATTTTGAAAGGCTAATCACAGATAATGAAAATGTTCTAGTTTAAAATACGTAGAAGCCCAAAGTAGAATATAATAATGGCTTCTCACAATTTGGCAACATTTCCTGAAGTAAGAAGTATAATATAGCTATTACCTCTGAGCATAAACTTTCACAGGCATAACATTGAACATATATTTAGCATAATGCATGTGTTTGGAATAGATATGATCTTCCTCTACCCACAGAGCTAGATTTAAAATATTCTGATAACAAGGAATCTAAATTTTGAGTCTCTAAAACAAGAGAACTAGCTAATTGCCATTTTGAGAAACTACGTATATTTGCTTACATTTTCAACAGACACTACCTTCAATATCTATGTAATCAACATTCTTAGAGTTTCAGGAGACCCTGTAGAGCTGAGAAAACTGACAGCCAAATGGAGTTCTAGAGAGAAAAGGCCTAATACCAAGAGCTGACTCCCAGTCTAGTGCCAAACCTACCTCACTATAAGACTTCTTCCTTAATCTGCCTTATTCACACAACCTGAGTGAGCTCCTGAGTCTTTGTGTTTCACAATAGCATGGAGCTGTTCTTCTTATATAAGTTTTGAACTCCCCTCAACCCCTAGTAGTGAAGGGTTTGTAGAAATCGATCCATTCTTATTCATCTGCTTGCCTTTGTGACCAGTGCCAAGCACATACAAGGGGGGGGGGGGGGCAAAAAACTGGAATTATTTGTTGGAGGGTGGGTCCTTTGTAGTACAGGTTTCCCCCACTAAGTGTTCTAGAAACCCATCTGCATCGGTGTACCAGCTAGTTTTGTGAGAAGCTGTGTTCGACTTTAGTGAATGTTTTGGAGATTCAACACATTTGCCCATTTCATGATGGGTGATTTAAATGAACAACCTGCCCAGTCTGCTCAGCAGTTTTTGAGCAAAGTGGCATGAGCCCTATACCCCACCCTCCTTAATCACCTAATCTCAACCCAATAGGTTTTTTGTTTGTTTCCCCAATACACAATTTTTATAAATAAATTCTGGGTTTTTTGGGGTCCCCCCTCATTTAAGGCAGCTAACTGAGGTTAGAATAAAGTTAGAAATCCAGTGTTTGCCATGAAATCAGACGTTGGCCTCTAATAGAACCAAGCCCATCCAGTAGCATTAAATAGTCATAACCGCCGGGTTCGGTGGCTCAGCCTGTAATTCCAGCACTTTGGGAGACCAAGGTGAGTGGATTGCCTAAGCCTGAGGGTTCAAGACCCACCTGGGCAACTTGGTGAGACCTCATCTCCACAATAAATCAAGAATTAGCCAGGGTTGGTAGTATGTACCAATAGTTCCAGCTACTTGGAAGGCTGTGGCGGAAGAATCGCCGGAGCCCAGAAGGTCCAGGCTGCGGTGACCGGGAGCATGCCACTACACTCTAGTTTGGGCGATGGAGTGAGACTCCAACTCAAAAAACAAACAAACAAACAAACAAAAAATAGTCATAACCATACACATCTCTTTAAATTGCTGTATAGGTGGAACCCACCATGAATTTGAAACTGATGGGAAGAAATGTAATACTACCAGCACACTCATAGTGCACGCATATGGCAGAAATTCTTCAGTGGACTGCATTATCCGACACAAAGGCCTGCAAGGGAGAAAACTGGTAGCACCTTTCCGGTTTGAAGATTTGAGTAAGAAGAACTAATGATTGTCTTTAATTATAATTATCTTAAAATTTATCTTAATATTGTATTATCGAGCAAAATTAAATGGAGTGGGCACTGCCAACAAAGTTCTTTTTAATAGCAAATTCCGTTAATGATTGAAATTTCTCCAGCTGAGTGACAGGCTTGCAAGTGTTCTGACATTCTGACCTAGTTATACAGAAAGTCTAGTTATACAGTCATGGTTGCTCACTCTTTCTTTCTCTCTCTCTCTCTCTTTCTCTCTCTCTTTCTTTCTTTCTTTTTTTGAGTTGGAATCGCACCTCATCGCCCAGGCTGGAGTGCAGTGGCTCACTGCCACCCCAGTACTGACCTGCTGGGTTCAGGCAATCCTTTCACCTCAGCCTTCCAAGTAGCTGGAACTACAGGCATGTGTTACCACGTCTGGCTCGTTTTTTATTTATTGTAGAGACAAGGTCTCGCCAAGTTGGCCCGGGTTGGTCTTGAACCCCTGAGCTCAGGCAATCCACTCACCTCGGCCACCCAAAGTGCTGGGATTACAGGCTGAGCCACTGAGCCTGGCTGCCTTTTTTTTTTTTTTTTAATGAAGGTCTTACTCTGTTGCTCAGGCTGGAGTGCAGTGACATGATTTCAGTTCCAATCACAGTTCACCACAGCCTCACCAACTAAGCTCAGGTGATCCTTCCACTTCAGCCTCCCAAGTAGCAGGACTAAAGATACATGTCACCACACCAGCTAATTTTTTTATTTTTTGTAGAGACACCATCTTGCTATGTTGCCTAGGCTTGTCTGCAACTCCTGGGCTCAAACGATTCCCCTGCTTCAGCCTCCCAAAGTGCTGGGATTACAGGCCCGGCCACACTTGCCTTTTGATAATGATTTCAAGTAGTTTTATTACAGTTGTGTTTTGTAAGCAGTCATATGCATCTTTGTACTTGACCCAAAAGAAGATAATAATAACTGAAATAAATCTAAACTTACCAGTATAGTTTATGTTATTATAAAACATTCATGTAGTTACATTGACATGATTACTATTTATATTTATTTCATTATAACTTTTGAAGGTTTTAGTTTAATCATATTAATATTCTGAGTAGAACAACATTTCAAACATCAAACATAAAGGTCAGGCATGATAGTTCATGGCCTGTAATCCCAGCACCTTGAGAGGTCAAAGTAAGAGGATTGCCTGAGCCCAGGAGTTCAAGACCAGCCTGGGCAACATGGTGTGGCCTTGTCTCTACAATAAATCCAAAAATTAGGTGGGTGTGGTGGCACATGCCTGTAGTCCCAATTACTCAGGAGGCTGAGGCAGAAGGATCACCTGAGACCTGCAGGTCAAGGTTGTGGTAGCTGGATGGTGCCACTGCCTTAAAGACATGAAGAGAAGTTGCCTCCATGTTCAAAATCTCTATTCTATGATTCCTTCCCCAAAAGCCCAAGAAATCGTTTTAAAACTATACACAATTATTTGAACCAAGAGACACCCTATAAGGAGTCGCATGGGTCACAAATCTATCATTAGTAGGACTCTGGACTTCATTGCTTTACAAGGTACTTCACGTAAAAACAGATTCCTTTAGTACAAGGAATCACACACATTAGAGAAAGAGGACACTGTGGATGACAAAGCATTTGTTGAAACAGTTCTTTTATCAAACGAAATAACTGCTGGTGACAGGCAAGCTTGCTTAGAACCTCGCTGTGGGAAAGCTTCTGCGCTGCCCTGTGGGGGCTGTGGCTGTGGTTGACAGGCGCCCTCTGACTACCACTCACTTTCCACGGGTCATTTTCTTACGAAACCTGAAGCATTACTGAGGAAGTTGCCTTGGAAGACCCAGGGACCCACAGCCCCAGCTGCGCTGTCACCTTTTGCACACACTCCCACCACGCTGTGATTCATGCCCGGCCCCATGTCTAGTCACTACTCCATCAGTGGAATTAGAGCAGAGTCCATGTGGCGATGAGACTATCTAAATGCTTCCAAAAGACATTGAATATGAGAACCAACAATGGTGGAAAAAAATACATTTGTACATTTCAGCAATTGTTCAAGTCATCTGCAAAACTTACTCCGGAGGGAGAAATGGCAATTTCTCCATCTTTATGGCTACAGTTCTATATGACTCAAAATCATAGTCATAAGTGTTTCTAATAGTAAGTGAGGATGATTTTTTACCTGTGCTCTATTGATTATTTAGCACCCACTGCCAGATCTCCAGCTAGTATTCAAGGAGGAGCACCAGTATCAGCTGTCAGTGGCTTCCGTTTATTACTTTTTTCCTTTGGAGAGCTACCACATTGACATGAAGATATTGCATGTATTTCGTTCACCTAATTAGTTTTTTAAAAATTTCTAGCTGAGCACGCCTTAAAGCACCTTTACAAGTAAGGGTTTGACCCCTTCCATCTCTATATTCTCTGCATGGTAGAACTCTAGGAAAATGGGTATCATGCCAGCATCATGTCTAAGGGGTTCTGAGGAAAAGAAACCCATAGTTCAATGTCTGGAGTAGGAGAATAAAACAACACGAATCAGTTAGACTATGTTTGGAATTATATAGTATAGTATAGTATTCCAATTATTCATTTATTTATTTATTTAGAGACGAAGTCTCACTCTGTCACCCAGGTTGAAGTGCAGTGGCATGATCAAGGGTCACTGCAGCCTCAACCTCCTGGGCTCAGGTGAGCTTCCTTCAGCTTCTCAAGTAGTTAGGACCACAAGCATAAGCCACCACACCTGGCTAATTTAAAAAAATTTTTTTAGAGACAAGATCTCACTATGTTGCCCAGGCTGGTCCTGAACTCTTTGCCTCAAGCAATCCTCCTGCTTCAGCCTCCCAAAACGCTGGGGTTACAGGCTGGAGCCATTGCACCCAGCCCTTTGTTAATATTCCATGTGAGGAATCTAAGTTTCCTGTTACATTTGAGGTGAGATTTTTTAAATATTTGAGAAACATTTCTCAAGCATTTTAGTTTCAGAACTCTTCTACACTCTTCAAAATAATTGAGATACCCAAAGAATTTTTACTTATGTGAGTTATATCTGTCAATATTTACCTATTAGAAATTAAAACAGATGTTTTAAAGATGTGCATTTATTAATTGATTTAAAAAATAAATCTACTACATGTTAGCAAAAATGGCATATTTTTATTTCAAAAACTATATTTTGTAACACTAAAAACATTAGTGAGAAAATTGTGCTGCTTTACATTTTCAAGTCTTTTTCATGTCTGGTTTAATAGAAAGTAATTAGGTTTTCATAATTTTTACATTCAATCTCTTCCAAAGTGTTGTGCTGTTTGAAATGAATGTAAAAACAATTCAGCCTCACACAAATATACAGTTGGAAGTTAAAAGAGTACTTTAATAGACTTTTCAGGTAATTGTGGATATTCTTCTTTGATATTACACCAGAACTCAACAAGAGGTAGCTTCTTAAAGGTTAGTTGCTATGTGAACCCTGGAACTATATCAATGAACTTTTCATATTCTGCTACATTAAAATCCATTCAACTATCTTGCATTTTCAATGGAACTTTTACCCAGGCATGATTTTTGCAACACCATGCCTTGGCCATTTGGAAAATAGTGATTTACTGAGTCATACAGATCTTTCAAATGTTGACATATTTCAACATCAAAATCACATTCTTTAATAAAATCACTGATCTTGTCGGACTGCTTTAAGTATTTGAAAGCTATCAAGCTCACAGTAAATATGGGTTGTCCACATCTTAACTTGAAATGTGGCTACTGCAACTGAGGACCTAAATTTATAATATTATTTAATTTTCATTAATTTGCTGGGCATGGTGGCTCACACCTGTAATCCCAGTACTTTGGGAGGCCGAGACCAGAGAATTGCAGTAGCCATGATCATGTCACTGCACTCTAACCTTGGCATCAGAGTGAGATTCCAACTCAAAAATAAATTTTTTTTCATTAATTTAAATGTCATTGTAGCTAGTGGATACCACATTTGCTAGCAGAGGCCTATAACATTCCGATCAACTAGGGAAATAAATAATTATGTACTAGAATCCACCTAATCAAAACAGCATTCAGTATAAATGCAACTTTATTTAGCAGTTTGTTAACTGAGAGGATAAATCAAAGTACAAACTCTAATTTTAAATATATAGAGATGGGCGGGCACAGTGGCTCAAGCCTATAATCCCAGCACTTTGGGAGGCCAAAGCAAGAGGATTGCCTGAGGCCACAGGTTCGAGGCCATGCTGGGCAACATGGTAAGACCTCATCTCTACAAAAAAAATAAAATAAAATTAGCCAGGCATGGTAACGCACGCCTGTAATTCTGACTACTTGGAAGGCTGAAGTGGAAGAATTGCTGGAGCCCAGAAGGTTGATGCTGGGGTGGCCGTGAGTGTGCACCAGCTTGGGCGACAGAGTAAGACTCCAGCTCAAAAAAAAAAATATATATATATATGTGTGTGTGTATATATATATATATTTTATATATATATATATAGAGAGAGAGAGAGAGAGAGAGAAAGAGAGAGAGAGAGAGAGAAAGAAAGAGAGAAAACTTGTTTTGTACATTAATGAAATTATCTAGCTGGGCTCGGTGGCTCAGCCTGTAATCCCACACTTTGGGAGGCTGAGGTGAGTGAATTACCTGAGCCCGCGTGTTCGAAACCCGCCTGGGCAACTTGGCGGGACCTCATCTCTACAATAAATCCCAAACTAGCTGGGCGTGGTAGTGTGCACCTGTAGTTCCAGTTACTCGGAAGGCTGAGGCGAAAGGATCGCCGGAGCTCAGCAGGTCGAGGCTGTGGTGGCGGGGAGTTGCCACTGCCCTCCAGTCTGGGTGACAGAGTGAGACTCCAACAACAAAAAAAAAAAAAGATATTGTCTGAATTCACATAGCATATACTGTGTTAGAAGATTTTAACCATTATTGCTACATTTTATTCTATGTGTCCCCAATACTTCCTATATTATGTTCTTATCATTTGTTCCCAGTTCTAATTGACTAGTGTTCCAGCTTTTCTCTTTTTGTTGTCAGTAGTTCTCCTCTTTCTTCAATTTTCTCACAATCCAGGTACTTTTCAAAAATTTTAAATGCTTAAGAAAATGAATGTTCAAAGCCACAGAAAATTATTTGATTAAATAAACACTGAGCCGTGCACAGTGGCTCAAGCCTGTAATCCCAGCATTTTGGGAGGTGGAGGCAAAAGAATTGCCTGAACCCAGGGGTTCAAGACCAGCCTGGGCAACTTGGCAAGACCTCATCTCTACAGTAAATAAAAAATTTAGCCAGGTGTGGTGGTACACACCTATAATTCCAGTACTTGGAAGGCTGAAAGATCGCCTGAGCCCAGCAGGTCAAGGTTGCAGTTGCCATGAGCGTGCTACTGCACTCCAGCCGGGTCGACAGAGTGAGACTCCCACTCAAAAAAAATTAAATAAGATCACTGAGAAGCACTTACAAATTTCATAAAGACATTACCCATCTTCCTCATGTCAGTATCACTGTTTGCAAATTGACAGGCACTGCTGTTACATCCTTTGAGGGCCTGTTCATTGACTGGTGAAGAAACCTGCACTAAGCTGAACTTCTAGAAACATTCCTAAGCATTTTTGATACTATAGAGTAACATAGGATTGTGCTTAAAAACTAGCCAGTCGTTGTACTAAACATACTTTCTGAATGAGCTTATTAATGCCCACAAAACATTCCAGGAAGTAAATGCTGTCAGTATCTCTATTTTACAGATAAGAAAACAATTGAGTGCTAGGGAGATGAGGCATCTTGTCCAACACACTCAGGAGCAAGCAGGTAGCAGCATTGGGAATTCAACCCAGTCTGAGGCTGATTCCAAAGCCACCTAACCAATAAATAGGTAGATAGATATGTGGATGTGTAGATAGACAGGCAGCTAGAGGGATTGGTAGATGGATACAGATGGAAACCATGAATACCCTTTGCCTAACACTACCGCCACACAGGTCCAGCATGCTGTGCTTTTAAGTCAGGCAGGCTAGCAGATGGGCAGTCAGCGGGATACAAATTCAAAAACCAGAGCAAGAGCTGCAGAACACACAGTTCCGGGGTTTTTGCACAACCTCTACAAGCAGGTAGCAGCCAAATAACATTCTCCAATCTCTTTTACTGAGCGCTATGTGGGTAAAATTGATCTCCGTAGTTGCAGAATTTTGTTTTTCCCCTTTTCTAGTTACCGATGAAGAGACAGTTTCCGATGCTCCAGAGGGAAGCTCTCTGTCTTCTCAGCACCCTCAGCAGCCCACAAGCACTGGTAAGTGAGCCTACATGGGAAGTTTGCTTTTCCCATTCTAAGTTTTAAGAATATTTTAATTTTTAATAAGACCAGATAAGCCTTCTCCAACTGGTTCAAGCTTTGTAGTGTCCTAGAGAAGAGCCGTATCAGGAGTACTTGCTTAGTGGGATGGACTACACGGTGTTATAAATCCTTGTAAGTTCAGTGCTGTTTTGCTTGCAATATAGAGATGTACACACACGCACACACACAATTATGACCGTTTGAATTTCCTCGTCAATAAAGGGCAAGGCTGAATGCATTTTAGGGAGTTTCATTTCTTTGTTTTCCCTTCTAAAACAGACCAGACACAAAACACAGACTTGGAATCAACAAACAGCAATGATGCAGGAGCTGGAGATTGGGTGTTGCTATTGAATAACAAAATCACCTTTGAAGGCACATCAATGACTTGGTTGTCAAGAGCTCAGGCCATGTTTGATGATGGGATTGAACTTTAAATGCAGAAGAATTTAGAAGGCCTACATTATAATTCCAGCTTTTTAGACAGTGAACCCACTAAATGGTCAACTCAGAGCAATGATCATATATTTAATTTAACTTTACATTTAACTAGCCTAGTTTCTGACAATAGCAGGTGTTCAGAAAATGCAGTATGAATGAATGAAAGACTATTAGCCTCATCCAGAAAGGTATAAATTCCTGCATACTGTCTTTCTGTTTCATGCAGTGTCTCTGTAATAATTTCATTTAGTGGAATAAATACTTTCAGATCATTATCTTGTTCATAGTTCTCAGTATCAGATCACATTTTTTAAAATGTGTACTCTGAATAATATTTAAAAGCAAACATTTGGGGTTTTAAAACACTGATAAATACAAGATGTACCATACAATTTTTTGAAGGGCAACGGAAATTGAAAATATTATGAAGTGGAACAGGCCCATCACTTGCTTTAATAATCCAATATTTGTAAACGTGTTTAGAATCTAGTTGTCTTTAATGACTTGCACCACTACTAAGCAACTCAATTTTCTGCTCTGCTTTTTCATATATAACATAAGATTTAAAGAATATGGTTTCTAAAATTCCTTTCAGCTTTCAATTTCTACTATGTTATTACTGTTAATAATACCCATTTTCAGTAGAATGGTAGGTTTCATTCCCCTCGGGGTCCACACAGTGGCGCTGTGCAATGGGCTAAAAAAAGCAGAGACTGCAGAGGGAAAAAAGGAAATTAGAAAGATAAGCCACAAAAATCTGAAAAAATGGTCTTTTACTCTTATAAATGATCTTATCTAGCAAAAACATCATAGTGCATCCTATTAGTGGGAGGCAAACGGAAGTTTGAGGCTATATTTCAATATGCAAATTATTGCTTTATGCATTTCAGTCTGCAGGTTTTCTATAAATAAAGCTTGGAATACCATTCTTCAGTGTTCAACTATTATCTTGAAGTGTCCTAAAGACCTTCTCCCCACTAGGCCTGATGCAAGAAGGAAGTAATAAATTAAATTTTGGGTTCCACAGTTAGAAAAAAACAAGTTTAAGTAATAGCTCTGCCATATATTTGCTGCAGGCTTTGAGGATAATTTACTTAACTGCTCTAAATCTGCATTTTCTCGGTGCGGTGGTGAAAAGTGATATATATCAAATGCTCAGTTCAAAGTCTGGCACAGAGTACATGTTCAGTAGGTGTTTAACTTTTTAAAAAATAAGGCAAAGTGAGCCTGGCCATTTGCAACTATTTGTGCAAGGACTCAGTAGTACAAAAATGATCTCATTGGTTTTTTTAATTTTTAATTTTTGTTTTATTTTTGAGTCAGAGTCCCACACTGTCACCCAGGTTGGAGTGCAGTGGCACAATCATGGTTCACTGCAACCTCAACCTCCTGGGCTCAAGTGATCCTTCTGCATCAGCCTTCCAAATAGGTAGGACTAGGGGTACACATCACTACGCTCAGCTAATTTTTTTATTTTTTGTAGAGACGAGGTCTCGCTGTGTTGCTCAGGCTGGTCTCGAACTCCTGCGCTCAAGCAATCCTCCCACCTCAGCTTTCCAAAGTGCTGGGATTACAGGTCATTGCTATTTTTAAATGAGGATCATGAATTTGGTTTCTAAATCTGCTCTGGGAAGAATATAGATATGTAGTTATATACATACTTGTAGTTATATACATACTTGTATACATATGTTATTATATACATACATGTATTCATATGTATATGAATATATCATGCCTTACTTTCTTTCACCTTAGTTTCAGTAATGGAAGATTCTAGTACATCAGAGACTGACAAGGAAGAGAAAGAACAAACCACTCAAGACCTTGATTTGACTACTGGTAAGTATCACCCACTGCATTTAGAATAAACACTTGACATTTTAACCTAATCTATGAATCTATGGCCTTTTTCAGTCCTCCTTATTCTGGACCTTTCTGCCCTTTATCACATAGCTGGTTAATCACTCCTTTGTCCCTTCTTCACTTAGTTGCCTCCTGGCTTCTTGACATACTATGCCTGGTCCTGCTACTTTTGCTAACGGGGTCTCACTCTGTCACCCAGGCTGGCGTGTAATGGCATGATCACAGCTCATTGCAGCCTCGATCTCCTGGATTCAGACGATCCTTCCATCTCAGCCTCCCAAGTAGCTGGGACTACAGGCACATGCCAACATGCTCGGCTAATTTTTAAATTTTTTTTTGTAGAGACATGTTGTCCAGTCTTCACTATTTCTTTTTATCCCTTGTCTTATTCCACTTCCTCCTCTGACTTCCTTTTTTTTTGTTGTTTTTTGAGTTGGAGTTTCACTCTGTCACTCAGACTGGAGTGCAGTGGCCGCTCCCGGCCACTGCAGCCTCGACCTGCTGGGCTCCAGCGATCCTTCTGCCTCAACCTTCCGAGTAGCCAGAATTACAGGCGCGCGCTACCAGGCCCAGCTAATTTTTTAATTTATTTATTGTAGAGATGAGGTCTCGCCAAGTTTCCCAGGCGGGTCTTGAACCCTTGGGCTCAGGCAATGTACTCATTTCAGCCTCCCAAAGCACGGGATTACAGGCCAAGCCACGGAGCCTGGCTTCCTCTGACTTCTTAAATGTGGATATACATTTATATGATTTTACTTCTTCGTCTTTTGTCCCTTCCTTAATTTTTAAAGATTTTACCTGTTCCCTAAACTGTTTTTGTTGCCACTAGGCAACAAAACATATGTGTATTTTCAGAACATTCTCTTGAGAATTAGTCCTGGTTTAATTCTGTTTTCTATATATTCCTAGCTGAATTTTCTGCCATCTCCTCAAACGCAACATTACTAAATACCTAACAGCACCTTTTCTCACAAAATCAACTGTCCAAAGCATCACACAAACCCAAAACCTGCTTTCACTCCTATGTGTGTGTACAAATATACAGAGGTGTCAACAAAATGCATACACATTTTAGAGATGTTATCTATGTACTACTTTTCGAAGCTGAATTAAATTATGGTATTCCTGTGTAGTATGGCTTCGCTCAACCATACTTCCATCATTTTCTTTGACTATCCTGCGTATTGCATGGTGACACTAGGATTCATTTGATTAATGCCATCTTTTGAGCAAACATCAGACTTAAAATGCATATACATTTTGGGGGCATCCCTATATAGGTACATATATGTATATGTACATATGTGTGTATATACATGTGTACATACACAGATATATATAATCAGCCCATTTCCAAGGACTTTTGATTCTTTTCTTTCAGGTATTTAGTACGTTATCATCCTCCCTCCATCTAGGCCCTCATCAACTCTTGCACAAATATTGTAACTTCTATTTCTCCTCTTCCAGTCCATTTTTAGCACTCTACCATCAAAACATCCCTCTACACTTTACATATCTATGTTCTGAAAACCTTTATAACTTCCCAAAGTCTTCAACACATGAGCCCCAAGCAACCCATAAGGTGCAATCTACTGCCTATCCCTGCAGTCCTGTATCTATAAAGTCTCTACAGGATACATATTTTTCTCTACATTGTGGAAGTCTTGTATGTATTCTTCAGTGACCACAAAAAAAAAAAAAAAACAGGTTGGGCATAGGAAGTCATATCTGTAAGCCCAACACTTTGGGAGGCCAAGGCGGGAGGATTGCTTGAGGCCAGGAGTTCAAGAACAGCCTGGGCAATATAGCGAGACCTTGTCTCTACAAATAAATTTTTAAGTATCTAAAATCCTTTTATTTTTCCTTATAGAAGCAAATCCTCAGTATATGGAAATAACAAGGAAGAAAAGTGGCATACTACTGCTCACTCTGGTGTCCTTCCTCATTTTCATACTCTTTATCATAGTTCAGCTCTTCATAATGAAGTTGCGGAAAGCACACGTGGTATGGAAAAAAGGTGAGTGGGTAGAGAACATGATGGAGACTATAACATGCCAAAACAATTGGTCAGAGGAAAGGAACTTTCTGTCAACTGAAGCTTTACTGTTAGATGCTGCACATTCTACCTGATAAGTGGAGCCACTCAAATAAGCAATTGCTTTCTAGTAAACGCGGGCTGTTAATCTCCAGGGCCCACGGTCCAAGAGTGCAGAGCCAACAGAAACCGGAGTAACTCTAGGAATGGGCATTGAACTACAGATGCTTCTATTCACAAAAGGCTACAAAATGGAGGGTTAATGTATCTATTCATTCTATAAGCATTCATTGAGCACCTACTCTGTGACAGACTGTTCCAGGCACTGGGGACACATCAGTCAACAAGACAGACCAGGTCCCTGCTCTTGAGGTGTTCATATTTTAGCAGCGGTCCATCAAAGGTTGGATCTAATAAACAGTTTTGGTTCCATTCTTATTTTGCAAAAATTCACTCAGCCTCACTCAACCCTAATGTATTAGTAATTTTCCCCTAAGCATTCTGATTAAAAAGTTATCATTGGGATGGGTACAGTGAGTGGCTCACACCTGTAATTCCAGCTCTTTGGGAGGCCAAGGCAGGAGGATTACTTGAGGCCAGGAGTTCGAGACCAGCTTGGGCAACAAAGCAAGACTTCATCTCTACAAAAACAAAAAACAAACAAAAAAAAACAACTAACCAAGCATAGTGGTATGTGCTTGCAGTCCCAGCTATTCAGGAAGCTCAAGCTGGAAGATCGTTTGAGCCCAGGAGTCAAGGCTGCAGTACGCTGTGATTGTACCACTGCACTTCAGCCTGGACATCAGAGCGAACCCCTGTCTCAAAAAGAAGAGAGGAAAAAAAAGGTTATCATTGGAAACACAAAACTATTATTTAATGAACATAGAAGATACCTATTGAAATACACAAACTCAACATAAATCAAAGTTGGATGCAACCTTAGAAGTTATCCAGGATAGCCATTTACTCAATTTATTATATAACCATGTGTTGGGATCATTCCTCGCCTTATTCTGAGTGATAATCTAGCCCTGTGCTGTTCAATACAGCAGCCACAAGATGGCTTTCAAGCACTTAATGTGTGGCTAGTCCCCACTGAGATGTGCTGTAAGGATAAAACACACACCCAATTTGAAGACTCAATACACACAGACCTACACAAAATGATGTAACATACCAAATAACAATATCTTAAATGTACTAGTTAAAACATTTTGTTAAATTAATTTCACCTACTTCTTTTTACTTTTTGCATGTGGCTACTAGAATATTTTAATCTACATATGTGGCTCACATTATAGTGCTATGGGCCGCACTGATCTAGCCGCATTTGGCTCAAACACCTCCAGTGAAAGAGAACTCTTTATGTTCTGAGGCAAAATACTGCATCATGAAGTAGCTCTGACTCTCTTAAAAGTATCCCTTTGCTAGTTTAATATCGGTCTCTCTAGATATGCAGATGGGCTAATATCCTTATTATAAATAGCCCTAGAGACAGGGACTGGCTTTTCAACTCTTTCTGCACAATAGGCAGACGCCATTGCCTTGTTTCATAATTTCCCATTAATACTTCACCCGTATTGTTCTTTTAGGGCTATTGGAATTGTACTTTCCAAAGGACAATACTTGATTCTAATCTGTGGTCATTTGACTTCCAGGACTTTTACAGTGCCTAGCACAGAGCCTATGTGTTGAGTTAATAAGAGCATGAGATATGGGAGAGGCAAGATAAGTCTACTATTTTACAGTAACAGAGGTGTCATCTTATCCAAACACACATTTCTACATATAAACAATGTCTATGGCACCAAAAATTAATAACTTGGTTTTCCTTTCTTTGCAGAAAATGAAATTTCAGAACACACACTAGAAAGTTATAGATTGAGGTCAAACAATGAAGAAATATCATCCCAAGAGAAAAATGGCCAAAGTAAGTCAACTGTGTGACCTGAGATTTGAAAAATGAGGTTCATTAATGTATTAGAGTTCTCCATAGAGACAGAATGAATAGGAGGTTATCTCTATCTCTGTCTCCGTCTCTGTCTCCGTCTCCGTCTCCGTCTCCATCTCCATCTCCATCTCTGTGAGAGAGGATTTAATAGGAGAATTGGCTCATGTGGTTATGAAGGCTGAGAAGTTCCACAATAAGCTATCTGCAAAATAGAGACCCTGGTTTGCCAATAGCATGGCTCAGTCCAAGTTCAAAGCTTCAGAACTAGGGAAGCTGATGATATAACAGGCGAAGAAGGCCAAAGGCCTGAGAACTCAGGGAGAACCACTGGTGGAAATCCTGGAGTTCAAAGGCCAAGGAGCCTAGAGTCCTGTTGGCCAAGGACGGGAGAGAAAGACTGCATCCCAGCTCCGGAAGATAAATGGACCTTGCCCTTCTTCCTGATTTTGTTCTCTCTGTGGCTCCAACTGATTAGATGTGCCCACTCACACCAAGGATGGATCTTCCCCACCTAGACCACTCACATTAATATGCCACTCTCCTCTGGAAACAACCTCACTCACATACCCCAAAATAATACTTTACCAGGTTTCTAGGTATTTCTTATTTCAGTCAAGTTGGCACCCAAAATTAACCATTACAATGAATTAGTCACCTTTAAAAAGAATGGAAAAAAATTAAAGTTAGATTTTTTTTAGTACTAGAAAGTCAATCTTCTAAACCATCTTGTAGAATTTAAGAAAGTTCATCTTGAAAAACACATAATAAACCAGGCACAGTGGTTCACACTTGTATTCCTAGCACTTTGGTAGGTCAATGTGGGAAGATTACTCAAGCACAGGAGTTTGAGACTAGCAACATAGTGAGATACCATCTCTATAAAAAATTAAAACATCAGCTGGGAGTGGTGGCACATGCCTGTAGTCCCAATACTTTGGGAGGCCGAGGGGAAAGACGGCTTGACCCCAGGAGTTCAAGACCAGCCTGGGCAACATAGCGAAACCCTGTCTCTAAATAAATAAATAAAATTAGCTGGGTGTGGTGGCACGCGTCTGTAGTCCCAGATATTCGGGGTCTGAGATGGAAGGATCACCTCAGCCCAGGAGGTGGAGGCTATAGTGAGCCACTGCACTCCAGCCTGAGTGACAGAGTGAAAACTCAACTCAAAACAAACAACCATACCAAAAAACCATACACATAGTAGTAGTTAAATTCCAAGTAGCCGCGGATTCGAGACCCGCCTGGGCAGCGAGACCTCATCTCTACAATAAATCAAAAAATCAGCCGGGCGTGGTAGTGCATGCCTGTAATTCCGGCTACTTGGAAGGCTGAGGCGGAAGGATCGCCGGAGCCCAGCAGGTCGAGGCTGCGGTGGCCGGAAGCGGCCACTGCCCTCCAGTCTGGGCGACAGAGTGAGACTCCGACTCAAAAAAAAAAAAAAAATTCAAGTAGCAAAATTTATGGCTTTTTGAGAAGCCATCCTTGATTCCTCACAGCCAATCCCTGGACCTTATGTCTTTCCTGTGCTCCAGAGTAGCTATGTTCGCCTTTATCAGTGAAACACTTCCTACACCATATTTGAAATTTTTAGTGTTTTAATTTAACTAACACATTATTCCTTCAGGTAGTGAGTAATTGGATTTGCTCCCTCAGATCCCAGCTCAGGGCCTGGCACAAATGGAGTGTTTGATAAATTTGTACGAAATGAATGAATACTGGTTTATTAATTCAAGCAGAGATGTTGCAGGTCTTTGGGATGACTTCATGGCAATTCCATAGGCAAAATATGTAAAGAAAAAGAAAAGAAGAGGCTCTAAATGGGAAAGAGATTGTGTGAGTGTATTTAGTCTTCACAAAGATCTAGAAGGCAGATGCTAAGACTATAGAAAAGCAGGAATCTTATACCTTCCAACAATTTTACTTCTCCCATGCAAATTAATTTATTCTACCTGTTGCAAGAAATGCAATGAGCTTTACTGCTTGATTCTATTGATTTTACTGAAGTTTTTTTTAGGAAGCTTGTCTTTTAGATTACCTCTGCCTTTTTTTGGTTTTGACCTTCTAGAGTATGAAATAGGAAGAAAGCATACACGTACTAGCAGGGAGGACACGAGTGAATTGACTGTGTGAAATCTGGGGGTGGAAGGGGAAAAAGTGTGTATCTACATATAGTCTGTTGTATTGCAATGCATTTTCCTAGAATATCAATCATGCCATGCTCATCTAGCAGATAAAAAAGAATGTCAACATAATGTGGAAGTTTGGCTGCTTCCTGTGCCATTTTTTCCTAGGCAAGGAGAACCAAAACAATGGGAGTAGAATTATGACCTTTAGCAGGAAAAGAAGAGCCCTCAGCTCAGCTGCTGAACAAGCAGAAGCCCTTGCAGTTTGACTTTAAGAAAATTTAAAATGAGTATCTGCAGTCTCTCTGGAAAGGCTTATCCCCAGGGACTTGTAGTGTTCATTCCTACACACATTTTCCTGGGCTCAGACTTCCATTTTCATCCTCCTTGTCTCAGCCACAAATTCAGCATTTTAATGCTATTGTTTTGCACATTTTAAAAATGTTCTCCGGGGCTGTCTTGAACCTCTTTGTACAGAGTTGTCTAGGCTTTGAGTTGTCTGTCCAACTCTTTTTTTCTCATAAGCCCTGTTATTTTTAGTGCGCAATTTTGCTATGGCAATGTGTTGTTTTCAGCAAACACATATGTCATTTTATAGCAGAACTGTCTGCATATTTTATTTCAGGTTTATTCGTATATTGTTTATGTAGCAAGACTTTTGAAATATCAGAGTATAATAATGCACTCAGATCACTTACATACATCAGTGAATTTTGGATTTTTATAAGACATTTCTCTATGGGCCTAAAAATATGTCCAATCAAAGTGTTTCAAATTAATGGGTGCGATGTTATTTAAAATAAATATTCATCTTCAACATGTTTTTCTTTCAGCTTCTCAGCCTAAGCGCTATATGAACTACATCACAAAGTTGTACTCAGAAGCAAAAACAAAGAGGAAGGAAAATATACGACAGTCAAAATTAAAAGAAAAACATTCTCATCTACCAGAGAGTATTGTGTAGTGCTCCCTGCCATAGAAATATGATTTTGAGGCAGCTGCAGCGTCACCTTGGAGAAGAAGCCTGTGAGAACAAGTATAATTACCATGCCATGGAAAACGTCCTAGCAGTGCAAGACAGTGTCCTCCTTGGATGATAATCTACCCAGGAGCCAGGGCAGCAACATGAGGACCAAACCATGCACATAAAACTTGTAGTTAAATAAAAAAGAAATAGCTTATTATGCCCAACACTACTTCAGAGCAGGAGGATTGTACTAAGCCTTCAGCATCAGGGTCAATGTGACCAGCTAACATCTTATCTCGAAGGGAACAGAATTTTTTAGATACTTAGCTCTAGTAGAACACTTTAGAATCTTTTTTTTTTTTTTTAATCTCTCCTTCTAGTCACAAAATAAGGAACTTTGAAAAAAAAAAAAGGTATCTAAGGATTTCTGTTATTTTCAGGATAGACTTTAAGAAGATATAACCAGCACATGTCATGTCAGGGAGAAGTGGTGCATAGCAATGAGTAAGTCAGATGGGTATGAAGGTCCCTGGATCCATGCGCCAAGTCACAAGAAGTTAGCTCCAGGTAGACCCCAAGATTAGAATTTCTTGGATTTTCTTGCTAAATCACATGAGCTGACCTGATAGACCAAATTTTTACCTGAACACTCCATTATAAAAACATGTACAAAAGAGAAATGATGGGTTTAATTTACTGATTATTGACCTAGTGGTTGGTTTTTTAAAATTATTTAATAAAAAACAGAATGCATATTTGTATTTCTAGTGGTTGTATTCCAAATTGCACTTCCGGTTTTCACATGTAAAGTAACATATGACATGCCTTTTTCCCTATCAGTTTATTTAAGATATTTAGCCAATTCTGGCATCTATGTGGGGCACTTCCCATTGTTGGGAATAACATATACATACGAGTTTATAATCTGTTACAAGGGCCAGATCCAGATTTTTGTCTCTTGATAAAAATCTTTTGAACATTCACAAAATCACAGAAAAGTGTGAAGATAGCACAGAGCACTTTTCTCTCAAACCATCTGAGAGTAAGATGATATGATGCCCATCTCCCCCCAGATATTTTCATGTGTATTTCCTACAAACAAGGACACTCGCCTCTGTAACCCAAAACGCAGCCAGTAAATTCAGGAAATCAGCGTTGTTCTATTTCTAACAGTCCTCAGACTCTATTCAAGTTTCTCCAGTTCTCTCGACTGTCCCAAAGGATCTAGTTCAGAGTCAGACTTCGTTTTAATCTCATTCAATTTGGAATAGTTCCTCAATCTTGGCTTTACTTTCATGACCTGGATTTTTTGAAGATTAAAAGCAATTATGTTGTAGTTTGTCTCTCACTTTGGCTTTGTCTGTTTCCTCATGATTAAATTCAAGTTACACAATTTTCATGGGACTATCACAAAAGCAATGTTACGTTTATTTCTTTTTTTTCTCTTTTTATTTTAAAGACATGGGGTACAATTCAAGGTTAGGTATACAAATGTTCATTATACAGGTACCCTTGTTGATGAGGTGTGTTCCTCCCTCCCCTGGCAGCTTCCCTCAACTGCCAAGCCCACTCCCTACCCCCGCACTTTCCCACTACTGACAATCCCTTTCTTATGGTATTATGATAATTGTTCTGTTATGTTTATTTCATTGCACTTTATTCATCCTATTATTGATGATGTTCACTTTGATCACTTGATTAAGGTGGTGTCTACCAGACTTTTGGGTGTCTACCAGACTGCAAATATTCTGTTTCTCATTAAACTTTCAAGCTATTCATTTATCTGTATAGACTCATGGTTTCCTTTGTTATTCAATGGGTTAAAATCTGTCACTATTAAATTAGTCCACTGCTAATTTGGTGATCAAATTGTAGAAGCTGACTTCTGTGTCTTTTTTTTTTTTTTTTTACTTGGAATCTCACTCTGTTGCCCAGGCTGGAATGCAGTGGCATGCTCCTGGCCACCACAGCCTCGACCTGCTGGGCTTAGATGATCCTTCTACCTCAGCTTTCCAAGTAGCTGCAACTACAGGCATGCACCACCATGCCTGGCTAATTTTTTTATTTATTATAGAGATGAGGTCTTGCCAAGTTGCCCAGGTTGGTCTTGAACCCGTGGGCTTGGGCAATCCTCTCACCTCGGCCTCCCAAAGTGCTGGGATTATAGGCATGAGCCACAGCGCCCAGTCTTTCTGTGTCATTTTGACATGTGTTCTCTAATCTTCAAGCATTTTCTTGCTTTCTGGTATAAGATAACTCAGGTTCATCTTGAACTTTTCCTGCCCTAGTCCTGGAAAACTAAGGATCCCTGGTTTTATTTGGTAGAAAATGGTATTTGGAAGACAAGATCTAGGTGTGAGATATACAAACTGCTTTGGAGATATCATTGTTCTCAAGTCTTCTCAGTGGACAGAGCTAGACAATGTATGACTGTGTGTGTGTGTGTGTGTGTGTGTGTGTGTGTGTGTGTGTGTGTGTGTGTTTAAACCTGTCTATTGAAAGCCACGAGCTTATTTGAGATTTTTTTCTCCCTTTCTGTACTTGTAACTTCCTCCTCTGAGAAATGCAGCTTTCATTATCCTTGATGTTTTTCATTTTTTGATCAGTATGTAACTGATCTTCCATCTTTACTACCTTCCTTTTTTCCTTCAAGTTGTCCTCTTCTTCCTGATCAGGCTGACTGATCAGACTGACTCCCCATTTGGTGTTCCCCTCCCTGCCCCCACGTGGATGATCTCCTCAACTAAGTTTGGGCTGTGACACTCCACACCAGGTCGTTCCACTCTGTAGAAACCCTCAAACACAAACTCATACCCTGCCGCATAGTAATACTTCTCACTGCTCAGGCTCAAATACTGTGTGCTGGACAACCCTCCGATGAGATCTGCTTCACCAGACTCAGGCTCTGAGACCCCTCTCTGGGCCTCCACATCTTCCTCAACAAAACCAGGTGAACACACTTACTTTGCTCTATACCGCCTAATGACTTTAGGGCTGAATTGTTCAGTCAGAGAAAGGAAGTCTTGAAGGAGTTAAGAGAAGGAAAATGGGCCAGATGTCCTGCTTTCTAAGACAGATTTACTGTGTAAGGACATCAAGATTAGACATGTTATTTATAATTTTGCAGCAGTTCTGAGTCAGAAAACATTCACCAAGTCATTCCTACTTTGAAAAGAATCCAGAGGGAAGAACACTTTCATTTCAGAGATGGTGCTTGTCATGGTTGATTAGACCCTGTACTGGGTTGGCCTACTTTGAGTCTATATTTGCACACTCATTCTGCCAAAGAATGTTTACTGGGACTGCTTCCATTTATCTAGTTCCTTTTATTCAAGAGGCCAAACGAATGGTCCAACATTTCAGTAATATACAAAGCAGAGCTAAGTAAACTTGGCCAGTTGCCTGAATCATCTGAGAGGATGTCATAAAACAGAGATCCCCAGGTTTGTTCTCAGTGAGTGGTGTCAGTAGAACTCAGGTATAGTTTTGGAATCTTCGTTTCTAAATGCTCCCTGAGTGATCCCAACAGGTTGGGGAACCCTGATGTAGCACAAACCAACATTTTTCAAAACATAGCTGAGTTATAAATAATATCTTTAAGGTGACCATATTCTCCTGGTGATCACTATAAAGGCTTCATAGTTTCTTGGAAACAGAAGGACTTTATGTATCATCTCGTCCTAGCTGGTATGGAACTATAAGCCCAATACACTAGCCAAACACTTTCTGTGGTCAAACAACATCTAACTTGCACAGTGCCTAGCCTATGTACCTTCTCAATTTTTATTTGGCAAACAGTAGAAAGAAGGCAGAAAAAAAGAAAAACAACACTTGCAGAGGATATACTATGAGCCAGACAATTTTTATGGCTATTCTAATCTAATCATCATAAAACTCTTGAAGGATGGATATTATAATGTACATTCGATGCATAAGAGATGTGCTAAACTCTGCAAAATGACTTAGGAGACTACCAAGATTATAAGACTAGCTAAGGATAGATGTTGATCTGGTTCTGTCTGGCTTCAGTGTTGTTCCCTCTTTTTATTCATTAAAAAAGATTTTTTGTCTGGGTGCAGTGGTTCACGCTTATAATCCCAGCACTTTGGGAGGCCGAGGTGAGTGAAATACCTGAGCTCACATGTTCGAGACCAGCCTGGGCAACTTGGTCAGACCTCATCTCTACAATAAATCAAAAAATTAGCCAGACGTGGTAGCATGTGCCTGTAGTTCCAGCCTCTTGGAAGGCTGAGGTAGAAGGATCACCTGAGCCCAGCAGGTTGGGGCTGTGGTGGCTATGAACATGCCACTGCACTCCAGCCTGAGCGACAGAGTAAGACTCTAACTAAAAAAAAAGGCGGGGGAGGTTGTTTTGTTTTGTTTTGTTTTTAGAGACAGTAGCTAGCACTGTTGCCCAGGCTGGAGTGCAGTGATACAATTATAGCTCACTGCAGCCTTGAACTCCTGGACTCAAGTGATCCACCTCAGCCTGCAGAGTCACTGTGATTACAGGCAGAAGCCACCATGCCCGACAACACCATACTCTTTCTACTGTATTAAGATGACTTCAGGGGAACATGTATGATAACTATGCTCGATACCTTTCATTTGCTCCTCTCAACTCTCTTTTTCTATCTGCTGGGTGCTTCAAGAGACTGACTATCTTGGGCAGCATCAGTGAGTTCCCTTGTCTTCTCTCTGGCATCCAGTTGGGAAATGTACAGACCAGCAGGTGAGCAGAGAGCACCTTGTGTCCAAGGTTGCTAGGGACTGACTGTGTCTCTTTACTAGAGGTCACAGCTTTGGAAGTTGTTTCCACCATCTCTGTTCTAGAATCTACTTGTTTCCTTCACCACATCAAATCTAGACGGAACCTACCATCTTGTGGTTTTCTCAAAGCTTTGTATCTAGCTTACTTATGAAATCTCCTCAAATTATGCAATTTGAGTATATTATCTGTCTCCTCTAGAGACCCTGACCAATACAATAGTATTTTATAGATTTCTTCCACCCCCACATATCTGAATCTCATTTTATAGATAATC